CCTGGTCGGAGTCGCAGCCGTCGCCAGACGAAAACTCGCTCCGCTCCTCGCTGCTACTAGGGCTCGGCCTGAAACGTCGCGGCTCCACGAACGTATGATGGCGGCTCGGAAATGACGGCGAGGCGAGCGCGGCCGGCGAATCGGGAAAGACACAGCACGAATCGCAGAGTGACTTCGGGCTCGGATCGAAGGGCTCGTAGAGCGCGGCGCCACTTCGAAGTGCAGGCGGTCTCATAGCGGGAGACGCGGCAGCCGCCATTCGGTAGTAGCACATGTGGGACGTATGCGTGCGGATGCTGTCGGGTGCTTGAACAAGTAAGTCACGAAAGTACAAGTGTGAACGCGAACGAGGCTTTTGACAGACTTCAACTGTGGAACGAGAAGCTATATCCTGAGCGATAGCGTGGAACGTAAGCTGCTTGAAATGAAGCACTGCGGAGAAAGCCACAGCGGAAACGCGACTATTTTCTATGAACAAAAGTTCTAGCTCCCGCTTTGAGCCGAGCGCGGTATTGTCAGATGAGCCACTGGGTATGAACGAAGCGTGCGATGTCGGAGAGGAATGCGAATGGAAAGGCGGGAAAGGAAGTGGAGTCGTTGTAAAGGTATTACACTTTTCCAACTGACTGAGATTCCACTCGCGTCTATGTGTCTATACGTGTGATCCGAAGCACAGGGATGCCTCACGAGCGATCGTTGGCTCCAGCTTTGGCATTCCAAAAGCAGAGGAGTGGTGATGAGAAGGGTCGTGGGGTGGAGAAAGGGAAGGGGAGATGAGGGATATTCGTACAGTACAGTATGTGAGGATGCGGAAAAGGGGGAGATACGTATGCGGAATGGAGGGGGATTCGGAATGGCAGGGGATCTGCGGCTGGCAAAAGGTGAGGGCGCAGATGGACACCGAACAACCGTGGATTGAGTTGGAAGGGTGTCGGAATGACTGCGAACGACTACGGGAGAACTTACTACAGAACGTACGAACGACGGCAGGGGAAAGGGGTGTGTGTGAAGTGATGTGAAGGCCAACTTGTCCTTCAAAGGGATGGGGTCACGGCGCCATGCCGAAGCCGCAGATTGGATGGTTGGTGATGAGGGACGGGCAGGAAAATACACCGAGACAGGACAAAGATAGTCCGAACCGAAGAACACCGAGACAGACCCAAGACAAAACGGTCGAGACTCGAGATGTCAGAGAACTTTTCTAGCTGGGCAGCACACATCTACCACCCAGAAAGCGTCGCGTCGCGCCGCATCCGTCCATCATATCTGTTCCGTAGCCTCGCTGGCATGTGCTGGACGTGGGTTCGAGAAGCCGCATGTGATTCTTTTTTGTCTTTCGCGCAATTCGTACAACTGTTTGCGATGTGCATCAAAGCGGCCAGCCATGAAGGCTGACGTGGCTCCCAGAGCAGTTCAGAGCTTTTAAGGGCAACCAATTGCGTGCGGTGCAGACCAGCCCCCAAGTGAATGCCGAAGTGAGGTTTATTTAGATTCCCACACACGAATATGCCAAGCTGTTCCTGAATTTCGAGTGCAACGTGGAAGTGCTGAAAAAAAAACACAGGTTGAAGGAGGAGAAGAACTCGAGTAGTTTTTTTTTTTTTTTTTTTTCATGTTTCTAGGAGGAATGGATTGGGCAACGTGTAATTAAAGTCTAGAACACCCGCCACACCAGCTCACACAAGCCGCAAAATGCCGTATGAAAACAAAGAGTACAGCAGACAAGACAAAGAAACGACAACGCTTGGGAGTCACACAAATATCCGATTTCTGTTGATAGAAAGAAAATCCAAGCCAAACATGGAAAGAGTGCTACAATTTTCATCGTGTGAGCTGTCCCTCATACATTTGGTGTGTGCTATTTTTTATTCCAGCTCATTGCACTCAGCACGAGATTACGACACCCCATTGCCGCACCAACCGAAACGGGTAGGCTATGACCTCTGAAATAACCGATTTATGCACTCTCAAATCTGCATCGAGCTGAGGGTATTCGTAAAACTAAAATCGGGGGAGGTTGCTTCAGCCAGAGCTCGAGGTTGTATTAAATGTTGATGCAACTAACTGTGGAAGGCGGGAAACTAAACTTTGTCTGTATATGGTGCCATGTGGCGGCTCTTCATTCACCCGTTAAACAGTCACATTTACTTCTTGAGACTCTGATCCGGATCTGGATGTTGATGTGCTGTGCAGAACCATTGGCCATCGTCATTCAATCAGAGCATCGCGTCGTTGCCACGAAACTCCAACAAGGTGAGGTACGTTCCAATCAGCATGCAGGCTCGCCTGTCACTGGGCTCGTCTTGGAACTTTTGAGTCAAGCTGACGTGGGTATAGTGTGGGGAAGTGTGGGTGTAGTGCGGCTTGCAGATAGCGCTGAGCTAAATTCAAGCTGACGTGGGTATAGTGTGGCACACTCGTGTGACAACGTGGAGTGGGCCAATTCGACTTTTTTCCAATAGCTCCCACCATTGAGGGGTGATTGTGAGCGACACGGAAGTCAGCATTTAACCTCGGTTGTGGCTGATGCGGAAACATGTCCCGTAGACGCGTGTAACTGAAATGGCATGTATTCCAGTGTCACTCTATTATTAATTCATCCAACAGATTTTCCGTTCTATCGTTCATTTCGCAATACAGCAACGTATCTAGGGTTCCTTCCCTCCCATTTCGCGCGTCTATCTTAACAACTGCACCCATTTCCATACACCACCAGAGGTTCAGATGAAGCGTAACTGGTGTACAATGTAGAACATGATGGCGATAAAACCCACAACCATCTGATTCATTCTGCTCCCTACCAGCCTGGAAGCCCACCTCGCTTCCCCAGACCCTACCCTAGCCAAAGATTCCTTACCTACTCTTTTTCTCAAGAGTCCACTTCTCCTTCCTGCTGTCGTTCTCTTCCAGTTGTGCCCCCTGCATGTCTACTTTCCACCCAACCATACCCCCTGCATGTCAACCAGTTGTGCCCCCATACCATGTCTGCTTCCACCTCCCACCTCCACAACCTCCTCTGTCTTTTACTCCCCCGTCCTACTCCCACCTTCGCGTGCCTTTGCTGCCTCCCCTTTTCCTAGCTCTCCTCTCCTCGAACGTATCCTGCCACTCCTCCCACTCTTCAGGATCGTCCTCATTATTTGCTTGCCTCTCCATATTCTCCTCGACCCAGCTCCACTGATCCTCCTCCTGCTCTTCCTTCCAGTATTCGTCCTCCTTTGAAGCTTTCTCTTTCACTTCCTCTTTGTATTTATGTTTCTCATCTTGCCAACGAAATCTCGTGACGCCATAGCCTCCCTCATTCCGTCTCTGCCCCTGGCCTTGATTGCGTTTCGCACCTTTATTCCTCCTCCTCACCGCTTTCTCCCTCTTTTTCTTCGGCACTTCCTGGTGTCCATGCTTCAGCAGCAGAAAAAGCACAGCAGAATTTGCAAGAAAAAAGCGGGAAACGAAAGAAAGAAGACAAAGCGGGGAACATCGAGAAAGAGGGAGGAAAAGGCAAAGTCTTAGAGGTATGCCTGCCGTTGTGAAGCCCCTAACAGTTGACTAATTTCTTAGCTGACAGTGAAGCAATGCACAATGGAATTTCCAAATACTTTCAAAGTGGACAACGTGTGTCCAACGAGCTACGTTGGTTCACTCATGCGATCTGCTGCTAGTCTTACCTCAGACACTAGGACACTAGGCGACGCAGTTGCCCAAATATATACACCAAATACCAGCGCTACCACCCCCACAATCCCGAAAGTCACGGCAACGCGGGCAGCAACGCCGCCAAACAAGAAATTTGCCATCGAAACCAGGAAACACAAGAAAACCTCTAAGATCTCTGCAAGCGCGGACACCGTAGTATCGAAAGAATAGACTGCCCAGCTTCTTAGAACGTGAAGCGATGTCGACGGGCACAGAAGGGGAGAGGAATAATGCTGAGACGACTGAGTTTTCTGAGAGCTTACACTTGATGAAATGAAGCGCCGTTGTAATGAGGGGAAACATGTGCCTAACGCCCTTGTAATGAGCTCTCAAATCCAACGAAGTCAGAAGGCTCGAATCGACCTGGTTTGGTCCATGCCCATCATGCCTATTCGGTAGTTTCAGTAGCGGCGACAGCAACCCACGGGACAAAACACGAATCGAGGCATGCGACCAGGTCAGGGAACGAACGAAGTAGCGAAGTTCCGTGTCAATTCATTCAGGCTGGGATAAGGTACGCTAGGGCGAGGCTCGTCCCAAGGCGCCAAAGAAACCTCTCTTCACTTTCCCCTGCCATACATGCAGGGCCAGAGGCGCCCAGATACACGTGAGAATTTGATTTTTGGTCTGGGATAAGTGGACGGGACGGGTCTGAGAAACCGAGGAAGGACGAGGTTTCGACAAATAAGGTGTGGAGCGTGGGACGGGAGGTACGGTAGGCATGGAGGAAGGAGCGCGACGTGGCTGTCGTTACTCGTAACTCTCGAGATAAGGCGTGAGACGGGCGTGGAGAGGGCGTGGGATCGAACATTTGTGCACGGTGCGGGACGGATTTGAGTACATAGTCAGCTGAGAATTGACACCTAATGGAACGTAGGTTCAGGTTGGGCGGCGCCTTCTAGTACAGAACGTATGATTCAGTAAAACAGGTTTCACTACACTCAACATTACCTGGAGTGTAGCAGGTTTCACTACCCACTTTATATACCACCCAGGCCCCATCTGCCACCCAAATTTGCAGTGTGGGTAAATGCTTGTCTAGACAACCAATCATATCCCGCAGCGCAGTGTGACTGAAACGTTTTTCCGGTTAGGTACAAGCTTTGCACGACTTTCTACAGTACCCAAACGACTCCTCATTCCCAATCATGTAATCCTTATACCCCTTGCACTCCCCTCGTGCCGCCCAAACCTCGCAGAACGGATGCTCATCCACGCACCCAATCATATCCCGCCGCGCAGTGTACTTCTGGATAGCGATAGATTTTTCCGCCGTCCACTTGGGTGGGCCCTCGAGAACGGGGCAGTTACGGCGGGCAGCAGAAGGGTCGTGGTAACCAGATGCGGTTACTTGGAAGAACAGTAGTGCGTCTCCTTTGACTGGTGGCACTGAGGAAGCATTTCGGGGGTAGGGGGAGGGAGGGATGAGAAGGGTGGTGGTGGAAAAGGGACAGAGGCAGGTAGTGAGCTGGAGTTACTTGGAAGAACAGCAGTGCATCTCCTTTGACTGGTGGGACTGAGGGGGGTGATTGAAGGGTAGGCAAGGCGGGAGGGGGGGTGGGTGGGATGGCGGGCAGCAGAAGGGTCGTGGTAACCATTTGGGTTACTTGAAAGGAGAGCAGAGCGTCTCCTTTGACTGGTGGGACTGAGGGGAATGGCATGTGCAGGAATCAAGGGAGGCAGGGGGGTTGGTAGGAAAGGGCAGCAGAAGGGTTGTGGTAACCAGACGGGGTTATTTGGAAAAAAGCAGAGCGCCGCCTTTGACTGGTGGGACTGAGGGGAATGGCATGTGTAGGAATCAAGGGAGGCAGGGGGGGTTGGTAGGAACAGGAGGTTGGTAGGGCAGGAGAAGGGTTGTGGTAACCAGACGGGGTTACTTGGAAGAAGAGCAGAGCGTCTCCTTTGACTGGTGGGACTGAGGGGAATGGCATGTGCAGGAATCAAGGGAGGCAGGGGGGTTGGTAGGAAAGGGCAGCAGAAGGGTTGTGGTAACCAGACGGGGATATTTGGAAAAAAGCAGAGCGCCGCCTTTGACTGGTGGGACTGAGGAAAGCGATTCAGAGGCAGGGGGAGGGAGAGATGAGAAGGGTGATGGCAAAGGGAGAGAGACTAGTATGGAGATGAAATACTACACAACGTACATTATCTAAACAATCTAGACCATTTAGAACACATACCTGAGACCCCTTGGCGGGCACATGGAGAGAGGGACGAGTCCCAGGGCCTATGTGAGTGCTCCGACTGGAGGGAGGGACAAGAAGTCGGGTGCAAATGCGAGACAATAGCGAGAGATGTAATGGCAGAGAGTTGTTGAAATACAGCCCATTGGTGTATATATAAAAAGAAGAAATCTCATGTAACAGCCACCCATTTTAGCCGAGAAATAAAAACATGGATAAACGGAGAAATTATATCCTACATGAGAGCGTACCTTGCCCTGAGGGAAGTTCACTTCGCCGCCCCTTTGTACGTCCGAGAGGAATAGGACAAGCGTTGCCACCCGGTGGCCGGACCTCTGTGTGTCGACATTATCCCGGTAAAACTCCAGATGCACGTCGTACGCTTGCCCCTCGTTGAACCGAACCTGCGTCCGAGCCTGCGGGTCTGGTTTGGACAGGGGAAAAAGACAAAAGTTGCCGCCTGAAGGCCAAGAGATATTGCATCACAACTTTAACTGCACCTAAAAGCTGGGTCCATTCCTGATGGCCTGGATCGGTCCATGCCTGATTGCAACGTTTGGATTGGTTAGGATGGGCAACGCAAGGATGCAACGCGAAAGGGATTCTAACTAGTAATGCAAATGCAAGAAGGGGCTTTTTCGCAAGCGTCTCTGGGAATGTAGACGAAGGCAATATACACATGTTTTACTTTATCCAGGAATGCTTAGTTGGATCGAATATGCGAATGCAGCAATTACCTCTGGGAAGGAAAAGGAAGGATGCAATGCGGTCCTCTATGGCCCGAAGGCGTGGGTTCTGAAGTAAAGGAAAGAACGGATACACACAGACAAGAAAGCTGGTGGACATTTGAATCCCTATTGCCTATAGGTGTGTGTTTCGAAGAAAACGAAGGGGGAAGTACAAATTGATTATTGATTTGCTAGCAAATTAATCTGGGCCTATATGGTCCCAAGTCAGGTGTGTTGTGAAGGTCATGTGATACAAACACCGATGAGGATCTGAACAAGGACGAGGATACACATTTATCCTGAGCAATATTTAGCCTCGCCTGCCATGCAAGCAGCAGGTGAACGCTGCATACCCACACCCACCCACCCACACACACACACTTGCCTGGTACGTGCGCAGATATGTGGCATTGAACAGCCTCTGCCGAGTAACCTTTGGCCTCGCCTGCCAGGCAAGCAGCGGGTGAACGCAACAAGGAGCAGGTGAAAGAAACAAGCAGCAGGTGAAAGCACGAAGCAGCAGTTGAAAGCAAGAAGCAGCAGGCGAAAGCAAAATCAGCAGGTGAAAGCAACAAGCAGCAGGAAAGCAACAAGCAGCAGGCGAAAGCAACACGCAGCAGGAAAGCAACAAGAAGCAGGCGAAAGCAACACGCAGCAGGAAAGCAAGAAGAAGCAGGCGAAAGCAACACGCAGCAGGAAAGCAGCAAACAGAATGGGTGGCAGAGTAAGCAACTGCAGTACAATTAAGGAGGGAGGAGGTTGGCTGGTAACGCAGCTGGGTGTGGGAGATTGACGCTTCGAGGAAACACAGATGAACCGGTGGTAGTCCCAACTTAAAAAGAATACGGACTGTGGAGAGACTCGAGCTGGTTTTTGAGAATTCTCAAAATATGGACTGTGGAGAGACTCAAGAGAAATAGAAAGGCTGGAAGACGAGGACTCACCATGGCCACTAGGAAAGCACAGTCGTCTGGAGACAGGAGCCCTTTATACACATACACCCTGCAGACAGAGAAACACAGGGCACAGTGATATTTGCATCGAACAATATACACGTACACTGCTGAAAGAAAAGAATGGGGTACAACGAATATACCCCATTGAACGAAAATACCAACAAGAAAGTACCCTGACAATAAGCCTACGAGGGAAGTTCTAAGCCACTGAACAGCCCTTTAACAGTACGAATCAGATTGACATAAATCTGCACTGTAATTGAGCATACCCTTTTTGTTGGTTTCGACAACGAGGTATAAAACAAGTACAGACAGTACCTGGGTGTAGACGACACCTTTACAACCCGGCTTTCATTAAACGCCCACTCCGAAACTCCCCGCGTCTCATAGCCACGCGAACCAGTGGCAGGATTGTCAGAGCTGATAACACCGCTGCTGGCTCCTCCTGCGTTCCGTAAGGTGCTGGCAGCGAGAGGGGTGCTGCTGAGACGATCGTTCCCTGCCACGCCCCGGATACCCCCCACATCCTTGTATGCGTCGCTGCTGCTTGAGCTGCTGCTGCTGCCGCTTGTGATGCTGTTCCCTCTGCTGCTGGAGCTGCTGCTGCCGCTTGTGATGCTGTTCCCTTTGCTGCTTGCAGATGCCGCGGCTAGTCTGGCCTCACGCGCTTGAAGCAGCTCAGGAGTGCCCCAGAACTCGATGCTGATTGGTCAACGCAGGGAGTGAGTGGGAAAGGAAGGGGGAACTGGGGGAGGGTGAATGGGGTGGGAAAGGAGGGGAAGAGTGCTCGGGAATCTCCCACTCGATGCTGATTGGACAATGCCAGGAGTGGGGGGGGAAGGGGGGAAAGCGGGGTAAGGGGGAGGGGGAAAGGGGGTTGCGGTGGTGGTGGGGAAGAGAGAGGGGGGAAGGAAGGGGGAAATGGAGGGGGGGGAAGTGGAAGAGGGGGGGGGGGAGAGGGGGGGCGGAGAGAGGAAGAAAGGAAGGGTACTTGGAAGGAGCTCGGGTCGGGTGCCCGAACACTTCGTGCTGATTGGTCGAGGTGTGGCGTGGGGATGCGGATTGGGGTTAGGGCTTGAAGTAAACTAGGGAGAAGGGAGAATGAGACAATACTTAAACTAGGATACTTTAAGGGCTTAAGATGTAAACGTAGAAGAAGCGGGGAGGAGAAAAGTGAGTAGGGTGAGCAACGCAATAAGGTGAAGAAAAGGGGATGAGAGGCAACCTCAGCTTCCTTCATTAACCCCGAACCTCGCCGAGATTCGCGGTCACACATTTCACCCTAACGAGCCCCATTCTCACCCTAACGAAAATTATTTTGACGAATCTCATGCCGGAACGAATCTGGACCTAACAAATCTCACAGTGACAATGTCACCGTAGCAAGTCTCACCCTAATGAATCTTGCAGTGCTCTCGACGAGGAAGCGCAACCCGCGAGAAGGACAATGACAAGGACGAACAAAAAGGCCCGCATATTGACGACTTTACCGTTACCAGTCTCAACCTAACGAATCTCACACTGACGATCGCACCCTAGTAACAAGTCTCACCCTAACGAATCTTGGAGTCCTGTCGACGAGGAAGCGCAACCCGCGAGAAGGACAAAGACAAGGATTAAGAAGGCCCGCATTTTGACGGCCGGGGAAAAAGGAAAAGGTCGAAGTGCGCGTCGAACTTGCAGCGCGCCGAGCTGATAATAAATAGTTCCAAATAAACTCAAATTAAGTCAAGAGAAAAAATATTGCGAGTCGGGATGCGCGGTAAACACGCGTAATGGAGTCGCAACGCAACGGTAACTGCGGTAGTCTTGAGGGCAGAGCAGATCAGCTGATCAGTGGGTGACGTCACTCAAAATCTGACACAGTTTCAGATTTGAATGTTGCACACGTTTGTGCGATCTAGAAACAGACGCTTTTGAAGCTTTGAGGTCTGCAAACAATCCTTGAATATATGTACCGAGGAGATCATGTACAAACATCTGTACTCATATATGTAATCACCAGAATTAGTAACGTGCTGCTAACTAGTGAGAAACAAATAGACGTTGCTTCCAGAATGTACACCTTGTAAATTGAATTTACAATGCACTTTAAATGCAATTGCTCCTCCAATTCGTTTACCTAGTCCTCCCATCCAAATACACGTCGCAACGCCCCTGCTACGGCATCAGCAGCTTCTGACATGTACTCGTGTGACAGCACACCATCACAAGATTCGGCAGCACCGCTGCCAATCCCATCAGCACCACTGCCACTCCCATCAGCACCACTGCCATTCCCAGCCGCACCACTGCCATTCCCAGCCGCACCACTGCGAGTTCCATTAGCACCGCTGCCAACCCCATCAGCACCACCGCCAGTTTCAGGAGCAGGTGGGTGCATCATGCGCCATGCCACGTGGCCATCTGGCCTCACAAGGATAGCACCTGACTCCCCCACCCCTGCCAGCCACTCTGGCCACTCCCCCCTCCCTGCCCTCCCCACCTCTGCTGTGCTCGCTGCTTCTCCTGTGCCTTCTGAACCAGCGTTAGGTTGCTGTTGCTTGGGTGGGGTACCGTCTGTCAAGAGTATGACTTCAAGAGACATGTGATTTGAACCAGTGGCAGCTGTACAAGCTGTAGCAGAACGAGCAGCATCAACAGAAGCAGCGGCAGCAGAAGTGCCAGCAGCAGGAGCATTGGCAGCACCAGCAGCAGCAGCAACACCAGCAGAAGCAGAATTGGTCGCAGCTACAGAAGCTGGTGTGTTGGCAGCATTAGAAATAGGCCTGAGGGCCCAAGACAAGAGGAGACAGAGCGAAGGTGAACCCACATCTCTTGCGCCCCCTGTTACACTGTTACCACCAGCTCCGCTCGCACTGACTTCCTCCCCTGTTACCTGGTTACCACCACCTCCTTCCCTGCCTGTCTGTCCTATACCATCATGCTCTATATTGACAGGTTTGAGGTGCCCTGGAACTTGCTCTGAGGTAGCAGCTTCAACGCAGAGGCCGAGAGGGGCAAGGAGGGAAGGGAGAGAGGAGAAGGAGGAGGGGTGGGGAGCGAGGAGGGCGAGGCGGAGGGGGAGGCGAGTGAGGGAGTGTGCGTGGAGAGAGGAGGCGAGCCAGAGGGGAGTGTGGGGGCCGAGAGGGAGGAGGAGAGTGGGGGTGATGGAGCCGAGAGGAGAGAGGTCGATGGAGGAAAGGGAAGGGCCCTGCAAGGTCGGGAGGGGTGGGGTTAAGGGGTAGGAGAGTAAGAAACAGCCAAAGTGAGTATAGGAGGGAACAGCGAGGGTGGAGGAGAGTGGGGGTGAGGGGGCCAAGGGGGGAGAGATTGCTGGAGGAGAGGGAAGGGCCCTGTATGAAGGTGGGGGGAGAGATGGGGGACAGGGTAGGAGAGTGGGGGTGAGGGGGCCAAGGGGGGAGAGATTGCTGGAGGAGAGGGAAGGGCTCTGTATGAAGGTGGGGGGAGAGATGGGGGGACAGGGTAGGAGAGTGGGGGTGATGGAGTCGGGAGGGGAGAGATTGCTGGAGGAGAGGGAAGGGCCCCCTGTATGCAAGGTGAGGAGGCATGGGGGGACGGGGTAGAGGAGTGACGAGAAAGTAGAAGTGACTCACGATGTGGTAATACGAGCCCGTTCGGTTGAGTACTTTTGAGACGTCTCAAAAGTACTCTTTTTACACGATTCGGTAATACGAGCCCGTTCGGTTGAGTACTTTTGAGACGTCTCAAAAGTACTCTTTTTACACGATTTGGTCATGCGAGCCCGTTCGGTTGAGGGGAGGGCTGGGAAGGGCTGGGAAGGGCTGGGAAGGGCCGGGAAGGGCCGGGAAGGGCTGGGAAAGAGTACTTACGATTTGGAACTCAAGCTTTGACGGTTGGTCCGTTGTTGTCGCAGCAGCATAGGGCAGCAGCAGGGTGAGCGTGCGGTGTGGCAGGCGGGCGCCGGGGAGAGTGGAGGGAGTGAAGGAGGTGGAGCTGGCTGCATGTGCTTCCCTGTCGTATGCTGCTGCTTCACGGGCGTCTGAGGGGGACAGGGATAGGGCGCCGCTCTTGTACCTGTGAGTGAGGCAATGAGAAGGATAGGAGGATGGTTAGGGATGGGTGGGGGTGGGAAGGAGGTGGAGGTGGCTGTTTGAGCTTGGGAGTCGTATGCTGCTGCTTGAGGGGCGTCTGAGGGGGACAGGGACAGGGCGCCCCTCTTGTACCTGAAGGGAGGGATGGGAAGGAATGAACAGGAGCATCAGCGGAGAGTGGAGGGCGAGAAGGAGGTGGAGCTGGCTGCATGTGCTTGCGAGTCGTATGCTGCTGCTTCACGGGCGTCTGAGGGGCATAGTGATAGGGCGCCGCTCTTGTACCTGTGATGGGGGTTGGGAAGGATGGGAAGGGATGGGAAGGGATGGGAAAGAGGTGGAGGTGGCTGCATGTGCTCGGGAGTCATACGCTGCTGCTGCATGGGCGTCTGAGAGGGATAGGGATAAGGCGCCCTTGTTGTACCTGAAGGGAGGGATAAAAAGAGAACAAAATGAATGTGAAGGAGGTGGAGGTGGCAGCATGTGCTCGGGAGTCATACGCTGCTGCTGCATGGGCGTCTGAAGGGGACAGGGACAACGCACCCTTCTTGTACCTGAAGGGATGGATGGGAAGGAATGAAAAGGAGCGCCTGGGAGAGTGGAGGGTGTGAAGGAGGTGGAGCTGGCAGCGTTTGCTTCCCTATCATACTCTGCTGCTTCACGAGTGTCTGGGGGGGACAGGGACAACGCACCCTTCTTGTACCTGAAGGGATGGATGGGAAGGAATGAAAAGGAGCGCCAGGGAGAGTGGAGGGTGTGAAGGAGGTGGAGCTGGCAGCGTTTGCTTCCCTATCATACTCTGCTGCTTCACGAGTGTCTGGGGGGGATAGGGACAACGCACCCTTCTTGTACCTGAAGGGATGGATGGGAAGGAATGAAAAGGAGCGCCAGGGAGAGTGGAGGGTGTGAAGGAGGTGGAGCTGGCAGCGTTTGCTTCCCTATCATACTCTGCTGCTTCACGAGTGTCTGGGGGGGATAGGGACAACGCACCCTTCTTGTACCTGTGAGGAGCACGGCAATGGGAAGAGATTAGAGAGAGTGGGAAGGGATGAAGAGGGATGGGAAGGAGTGCTTGTGATTCATATGCGGCTGCTTCGTGAGCATCTGACGGGGAAAGAGACAGAGTGCCCTTCTTGTACCTGAGGGGCCATTGGGTTGGACTTGGGGGTGCAGATGAAGGGAGAAGGATGAATAGGGGACGAGCCAAGCAATGGTTTTGTCTCGACTCAAAATTCTCCTGGTTATGATGGCACCTGTGCAAATGGGGTTGGAGAGGGATGGAGCAACAAGCGATTCCATCATCCCCACTCATCCAAACCCATCCCCACACATCCCCGCCCAACCCCACCCATCCCCACTCATTCCCACAATCCTCACCCATCCCCATCCATCCAAACCCATCCCCACACATCCCCACCCATCCCCATACATCCCCACAGATCCCCACACATCCCCACCCATCCCCACCTGAATCCCAGGTCGTGCTGTGGAAACAACAGCTGCAGGCTCTTCCCCTCCTCCAAACTCCTCTGCACCGCTGCCAACCGCTCCCTTCCCACGGGATTGGCTGGGTTCAGCAGCCAATCAGAGAGCAGCAGCTGTCGCCCTGCTGACAGCCCAGCCTCTATGAGGGTTGTCTGGAGCTGACGTGGCAGAAACTGATTGGCTGTTGAGGAGGAAAGGGCAGCTGAAAACAAGCTGGGCGGAGGGGAAAGGAAGGGATGGAAGGAAATTTGGGATGGAGGAACAAAGGGGAAGAGACGATTGAGGTGACGAGACGAATGAGGGGAGTAGGGAGAATGAGCGGGAGTGAGGGGGAGTGAGGGAAAGTGAGGGGAGGAGTTGAACGAGGGGAAGAAGGAGAGAAGGAAGATGGGGAAGGTACAAGGAAGGGAAGCTGGCAAACAAGGGTCGCCTCCTCTCCACTATCCCTACACACTCACGCACGTGGTAGCGTCAAGGCTCCAAGCCCAGAGTGGATTCTCAAAGTTATTCACAATCAGGAGTGTGTTTCCCCCAGAGCCACTAGCCTCCCTAAGGGGGGTTCTGAGTGCTCAGCACTCACGCACCTGGCAGCGTTGGGTTCCAGACCCAGAGCGCGGGGGACAGCCAGAGCGGACTCGAAGTTGCTGACGCTCAAGTGAGTGTTCCCCACGGCCACTGGGCACCTCTCTGCTCCTCCGCCTATCACTGGGTACAGACGCACCTGGCAGCGTTGGGTTCAAGACCCAGGGCTCTGGGGACAGCCAGGGCAGACTCAAAGTTGCTGACACTCAAGAGAGTGTTCCCCACGGCCACTGGGCACCTCTCTGCCTCATAGCAGGCGAGCAGGGCGGGGGAGGCGGTGCCTTGGAGCAGAGCAGCGGCCTTAGCATCACTAAGGAGAGGCCTGAGCACTGACTCACCTGGCAGCGTTGGGCTCCAGGCCCAGGGCTCTGGGAACAGCCAGAGCAGACTCGAAGTTGCTGACGCTCAAATGTGTATTTCCCACGGCCACTGGGCGTCTCTCCGCCTCGTATGAGGCGAGCAGGGCGGGGGAGGCGGTGCCTTGGAGCAGAGCTGCGAGCTTCCATGCGAGGTTGTGCGCGTCTTGAATGCCCGTGTTCATGCCTGGTGGGGATGGAGAGGAGAGGCAAAGTAAAGGAAGGGAGGGGGGAGGGTGGGTGCTGTGAGCCTCCATGCGAGGTTGTGCGCGTCTTGTATGCCCGTGTTCATGCCTGGTGGGGTGGGAGGAAAGGGAGAAGAGGACGGAGAGGAGTGTTAGGATGCGAGCTTCCATGCGAGGTTGTGCGCGTCTTGTATGCCCGTGTTCATGCCTGGTGGTGGAGGGGAGGTGGAGGGTTGGAAGGGAGGAGGGGAGAGAATGAAGTGATTCCCAATCGGGCACAGGTGATTCGGATGGTCGGTGCTGTGGGGTGTTTTTGAGAATTCTAAATTACACCGTGCTGCGAGCTTCCATGCGAGGTTGTGCGAGTCTTGTATGCCCGTGTTCATGCCTGGTGGGGGTGTGAGAGAAGGGGAGGAGGGAGGAGAGAGGGAGGAGTAATTGATGTGAGTACTGGCACTGATACCATGGGAACTCAAATCAAACGTACTAAAGCCACTGTGCGAGCTTTGAGACGTCTCCAGATTTTGAGTTTTGAGAATCTCAAAGCCACTGTGCGTTTTCAGCATTTTGTTGAAATCATGAGAGCTCTCAAAACTACACACGTACCAAAGCCACCAGCAGGGGGGAAACGATGAGCCGCATCCCCGACTAGAATGACACGCGGCTCATATGAGTCGTATCCCTCCCCAGTGTTATGCCCCTCACTGCCCAGTGCTGGTGCCGGGTGGTGCGAAGCGGTTGGTGGTGGTGTGGAGAGGTTTTGTGAGGCGACGTGGGACGAAGCCGCAAGCAGTGCTGGTGCTGGGCAGTGTGAAGCGGTTGGCGGCGGTGCAGCGAGGTAGTGAGAGGCGACTTGAGCAGCCATGATCCAGGGCTTGACAGAGCGGATGGTGATGGGGACGGATGAATCCCCTACCAATGCTCTCACCATGCTCTCACAATCCTATTGATAGGTGAGATGGGAGTGAAGGGATGCAGGGGAGGGAGGGGAAAAGGAGGGAGGCGACTTGGGCGGCCATGATCCAGGGCTTGGCAGAGCGGATGGTGACGGGGATGGCTGGGTCTCCTATCAGCGCTCGCACCAAGCGCTCACAGTCCTGGTTTGGGGAGGTGAAGTGAGGGGATGGAAGGGAAAGGAACGAGGCAAATTGGGACGCCATGATCCAGGGCTTGGCAGAGCGGATGGCGATGGGGATGGAGGAATCCCCTACCAATGCTCGCACCATGCGCTCACAGTGCTGTTGGGGGAAGGTGGCAGGGGAGGGGGGAGCGAGAGTGGGGAGGAGATAATGACGAGGTATTCGGAGAGAGAGGATGGTGATGGGGACGGAGGAATCCCCTACCAATGCCCGCACCATGCGCTCACAGTGCTGTTAACAAGTGAGTGGGGTGGGAGGGAAAAAGGAGGGAGGTGACATGAGCCGCCATGATCCAGGGCAGGCTACACAACTGCTGCTCTCTGAGAATGATGACTGAACAAGGAGGGAGGTGACATGAGCCGCAATGATCCAGGGCTGTCCCTGTTTTACTCTACTGCTGAGATTTGGGCTTTGAGAATCACTTGAGCACTTAGTTTTACAGAGCGTTTCACCGCTGTTGTTCTTTTGCTTAAGCCTAGGCTACACAACTGCTGCTCTCTGAGAATTATGACTGAACAAGGAGGGAGGTGACATGAGCCGCAATGATCCAGGGCTTGACAGAACGGATGGTGATGGGGATGGATGATCAGTGCTCGCAGCATGCGCTCACAGTCCTGGTGGGGGGAGGTGGAAAGGGGGATTGACAGGATAGAGGTCAACGCGTTGATGATAGGGGGCAGAGCGGGGTTTTTTATGAGCGCCCGCACCAGGTGATCACGGTCCTATCGATAGTTGAGAGGGGATGGAGGGGACGGAGGGGAAGGGAAAGGGAAGGAGGCGACTTGAACAACCATGACACAAGGCTTGGCAAAGCGGATGGTGATGGGGATGGATGAGTCTCCTATGAGTGCTCGCACCATGCGGTCACAGTTCTGGTGGGGGAAGAGGTGAAGGAGGTGGGCAGAGGGCAGAGACCGGGATGGGATGGGATGGGATGGGGGGGCCTCTCATGAGAGCATGTTTTTTGAGAATTCTCAGCATGTTTTTTGAGAATTCTCAGCATGTTTTTTTAGAATTCTCAGTATGTTTTTTTAGAATTCGCAGCATGTTTTTTGAGAATTCTCGGAATGTTTTTTGAGAATTCTCAGTATGTTTTTTGAGAATTCTCAGTATGTTTTTTGAGAATTCTCGGTATGTTTTTTGAGAATTTTCAGTATGTTTTTTTGAGAATTCTCAAAAAACATAGGTGGGAAGAGGGCAGAGACCAGGATGGGAAGGGGATGGGGGGGCCTCTCATGAGAGCCCGCACCATGCGCTCACAGTCCTGTTTCGAGACGTCTCATCACATACTTGTTATTAGATGGCGGGTCGACTATCAGTGCTCGCTCACACAATGGGATCACAGTCCTACCTGCACCAACACCATCAGCGCACACCACACCAGTGCTATTTGTTTATTTGAGAATTCTAAAAAACATGCTCGCTCACACAATGGGATCACAGTCCTACCTGCACTGATAGGCGACCCGCCTGCACCAACACCATCAGCGCACACCACACCAGTGCTCATTTTGAGGCGCCTCAAAAGCAATGCACATCGTATGCTCGCTCACCTTATTTGTTGGCACATTCTGGCCGTCCGAGTAGAGAGGAATCTGGGGCATGGGGAGGGGTAGGGGGGATGACACAACCACACGCGAGCACAGGGGGAGGAGGGATGGAGGGCAGGAGGCGAGATGAAAACGAGCTGACAAACCCGCTCGCTTCCTTTGATGGCACATTCTGGCCGTCCGAGAAGAGAGGAATCTGGGGCATGGGGAGCCGCAGGGGAGTCCAAGTAGACAATCAGGAAAGGCCAACGCGTTGGGGGCGGGGGGTTGGAGAGCAGGAGGCACTGTTGAGAATTCTCTAGAGCGATAGATAGTCGCATCGCAGGGGAGGGCAAGAAAGAAGGGAAAAGCATTGGGGGTAGAGTGGAGGGTTGGAGACGAACTCTCCCTCACCTGGGCGACACACTCTCCCTCACCTGGGCAACGAACTCTCCCTCACCTGGGCGACGAACTCTCCCTCTCTCAAGCAGTGCGCCACCACCACCCCAACCCCCTCGCAGTGGTACACGAAGTAGAGCATGGCGGGACGGGGCAGAGCCAGCAGCCTTCAACACCTTGCCACCCACCTTCTTTACCTGAGAGCCTCAAACCCCTCACTTGAGCTACAAAGTAATTACCTGGGCGACGAACTCCCCTTCCCTCAAGCAGTGCGCCACCACCACCCCGACCCCCTCTGTGTTGTAAACGAAATAGAGCATGGCGGGGCGGGGCAGCGCCAGCAGCCTCAACCCGAGGGGGCGCGAGGAGAAATGCACCGACAGCACCCGCTGCAGCTGCCTGTGCCCCTGCATTGTCACCCGCTGCAGTTCCCCGTTCACCCCCTTCCCCTGCATTATCAACGGCTCGTTTTGAGACGTCTCAAAACTATGCCTGTGCCCCTGCATTGTCACCCGCTGCAGTTCCCCTTTCACCCCCTGCCCCATTATCAACGGCTCGTCCTCTCCTTTTCCGCAGTTATGATTGGCTGCATTCCCCGTTTCGTCTGGTGTTTGGAAAATTGAACCGGGACGAAACTTGCCGCCCGGATGCTGCTGTTAGCGCCATCACAGCCAATCAAGTATGAGCAGTCGATCTCGAGGTTTGGGGGGAGAGGAGGAGGGGAGTTGAACTTGAGAGGAGGAGGGGAGGAGGTAAGAGGAGGCAACGGGAAGGATGCGGCTGTGTGTTGTTGGTGGTGGTGCTGCTGACCTTGCTGATGGTGCAGCTTTAGCTGATGGTGGTACTGCTGCTGCTGGTTCTGAGTCAGAGAATTTTCTAAGGAGGATTCCAAATTCGGTGTAGCGCAGAGGCTAACTCTTATAGGCTTCTCCGATGCTGATCTTATAAAGGGGATGGTCTGGAAGCCAGTAGAAGAATTGGAGTAAGTGGAAGGGGGAGAGACGGGGGAGGGAGAGGCAGAGGTAGTGGGAGAGGTGGAGGGAATGGTAGGGGAAGAGGAAGGGGTAGTGGGAGCGGTGGGAGGATGATCAGAGATGGGTTGGGTGGGGCTGGTAAGATGTTGCAGAGTGGAGGAGCGGGAATGAATGGACGGATGCGATTGAATGTGGGAGAAGGAATCAGCGGCGTAACCAAAGAGAACAGGTGGCATCTGTAACCCGTTGCTCTGTGGTAACCCCACATCTTGTTGTAACGGCTTGTGTTCTGGTAACCGCTCCTGGTGTGGTAACCGATTTTTATCTTGTGGTAACCGTGTTTGCTGCTGAGAAAAGCGTGAATCCGATATTGCCTGCTCCAGCAGCAGCGGCAGCAGCTTGTTTTGGGAAAAATGCGCCACAGAGGCTGGGCTTATGTGCGACAGGCCTGGGGAGGGGGAGAGTAGATAGGGCACAGCCGCACAGGGATACTGTGAAAAGGACGCTGCGTCAGCAACAGCAGAGGCAGCAGCTTGTTCTGCGAGAAATGGGCCACAGAGGCTGGGCTTATGTGCGACAGGCCTGCACAGGGGAGGAGGCAAGGGAAGAGGAGATGGGGCACAAGGATAGAGCGAGAGATAAAGAGAGTGCTAGGTTCAGCAGCAGTAGCAGCAGCTTGTCTTGCGAGAAATGAGCCACAGAGGCTGGGATTGAATGCAGTATGCGACAGGCCTGCACTGTGGGCCGGGGGGTGGAGGGGAGTGGGGGGATATGGGATGGGGCACAGCCACCCAAGGATGTTGTGTTGTGAGAGACAATATTAGAGACAATATTTTAGGCGGTTCTTGAGGCGCCTAAAAGTCACAGCCACCCAAGGATGTTGTGTTGTGTTGTGAGAGACAATATTTTACGCGGTTCTTGTGAGAGACAGTTGTTGAGGCGGTTCTTGAGGAGCCAAAAAGTCACAGCCACCCAAGGATGTTGTGTTGTGTTGTGAGAGACAATTGTTGAGGCGGTTCTGAGGAGCGGCAAAAAAAATGACTTTTGAGTCGACTCAACAGTCACCTCCGTTCTGAGGAGCAAAAAAAAGAGTCAGGGGTGTTGTGAGAGAGACAGTTTTGAGAGAGACAGTTTTGAGAGAGACAGACGGTTCTGAGAAGCCCCAAAAAAGAGTCAGAGATGCTGTGAGAGACACAGACGGTGACTGAGCCAGCAGCAGCAGCTTGTTCGTGGAAGAAATGAGCCACAGAAGTTGGGCTGAGTAGACTTTTGAATCGACTCAAAAGGACTCAAAAGTCGAGTTGACTCAAAAGAAACGAGCCATAGCAGTTGGGGTCACAAGCGACAGGCTTGGCAAGGGAAGAAGAGAGGAGATGGGGAAAAAGGACAAAGCGAGAGGTAAAGACTTTTGAGGCGCCTCAAAAGGCTTGGCAAGGGAAGAGGAGATGGGGCAAAAGGATAAAGCGAGAGGTAAAGACTTTTGAGGCGCCTCAAAAGGCTTGGCAAGGGAAGAGGAGATGGGGCAAAAGGATAAAGCGAGAGGTAAAGACTTTTGAGGCACCTCAAAAGGCTTGGCAAGGGAAGAGGAGATGGGGCAAAAGGATAAAGCGAGAGGTAAAGACTTTTGAGGCGCCTCAAAAGGCTTGGCAAGGGAAGAGGAGATGGGGCAAAAGGATAAAGCGAGAGGTAAAGACTTTTGAGGCGCCTCAAAAGGCTTGGCAAGGGAAGAGGAGATGGGGCAAAAGGATAAAGCGAGAGGTAAAGACTTTTGAGGCGCCTCAAAAGGCTTGGCAAGGGAAGAGGAGATGGGGCAAAAGGATAAAGCGAGAGACAAAGAGAGTGCTAGTTTCAGCAGGAGCTTGTTTTTGAGAGAAATGAAACACAGCAGTTACACTCATAAGCGACAGGCCCGCCCTTTGAAGCGGGTGTCTCAAAACCAAAGAATTGCTGGCACGTATTGAACCATGGCCTCTAAATGGGGCTCGATTGGGCTTGTTTTTGAGAGAAATGAAACACAGCAGTTACACTCATAAGCGACAGGCCCGCCCTTTGAAGCGGGTGTCTCAAAACCAAAGAATTGCTGGCACGTATTGAACCATGGCCTTTAAATGGGGCTCGATTGGGCTTGTTTTTGAGAGAAATGAAACACAGCAGTTACACTCATAAGCGACAGGCCCGCCCTTTGAAGCGGGTGTCTCAAAACCAAAGAATTGCTGGCACGTATTGAACCATGGCCTCTAAATGGGGCTCGATTGGGCTTGTTTTTGAGAGAAATGAAACACAGCAGTTACGCTCACAAGTGACAGGCCTGTTCTTTAAAGCGGTCCTGCTGCCCCACCATGTGCGTCCAGTAGGCACACACAAGCACCACTCTCGCCCCCTCTCTCGCCTTTCCCCTTTTGATTACCTTCCTGCCCTTTGAAATGGTCCTGCTTTCCCAGCAAATGCGTCCACTCCACAGCACAAACGAGCGCCAGTCCTCTTAACCCCTCTCCTCCCCCTTGCCATCTCTTCCCCCCCCCCGTTTTCTCCTCACCTTCCTGCCCTTTGAAGTGGTCCTGCTTCCCCAGCTCTCGCCCCAGCATGTGCGTGCAGTGCACAGTGCAGTGTGCACAAACAAGCACAAGTCCTCTTATAACCCCTCTCCTCCCTCTCCCTCATCTCTCACTTCCCTTCCATTACCTTCCTGCCCTTTAAAGTGGTCTTGCTTCCCCAGCTCTCGCCCCAGCATGTGAGTGCAGTGCACACACACAAGCACCACCGCTCTCAACCCCTCTCCACCCACTTCCATTCCCCTCCCATCCGCTCCCTCACCTTCCTGCCCTTTGAAGTGATCCTGCTTCCCCAGCTCTAGCCCCAGCATGTGCGTGCAGTGCACAAACGAGCGCCACTCCTCTAAAGGGGGCTGCTGAGTTGTGATGTGATTGTAAAGGGGGCCCATGAGGCGAAAAATCTAGGGGAGGGAGGGTTGGAAGGAAAGAAAGGAAGGAAGAGAGACGGAAGGTAGAGAGAACATGGGCTTCGGAAACGGGAAGAGGATGCTGACTGGTTATGTGATTGTGAATGGGGGATCATATCATAATGCGAGAATGATGTTTTTATCCCACCCCAGCTCTCGCCCCAGCATGTGCGTGCAGTGCACAAACGAGCGCCACTCCTCTCAAGGAGGCTGCTGACTGGTAATGTGATTTTAAAGAGGGCCCATGAGGCGAAAAATCTGGGGGAGGGAGGTTTGGAAGGAAAGAAAGGAAGGAAGAGAGACAGAGATTGGTTGATTGTAAAGGGGGCGCATGAGGCGAAACATCTGGAGTAGGATAAGAGGGAAAGTACAGGAGCTGTCAGAAACAATTTTGGCCAAAGGCGAAACATGTGGAGTAGGTAAGAAGGAAGGAACACTTGGAAGGGAAAAACGATGGAGAGAGAGGGAGAAAATTCAAGAGAAAACATGATCTGACTGTAAAGGGGGTCAAGTCGTCTGCAACGTGTTGGCGATATGGGTGAACCAAATTATACAGGATAGGAAATGGATGAGAAAACATGTGACTATATTGGAAGTTAACGTGCCAAGGCTCAAACAACAAGACAAGAGTAAACACACCTTCAAGTGGGCTGCCTGACCTGTGCCTCTGCGTTGCAAACAATGCCATAGGATTTACGTGACATATGGTTGCCTTGCCACTGCTGAAAAGTGCTGAAAAGAGCTGGATGGAAGGTGGCGCATCTTTCAAGTGACCTGGCTGATCCGTGCCTGAGAAAAGCATACCAAGCCATTGCCATGCCATACTGTTCACATGGCATGGCATGGCTAACAAAATCACATGCTATCCTATCCATCACATGCCATCATAGTGACCGTATATCATCACATGCCATCATAGTGACCGTACATCATCACATGCCATCATAGTGACCGTACATCATCACATGCCATCATAGTGACCGTACATCATCACATGCCATCATAGTGACCGTACATCATCACATGCCATCATAGTGACCGTACATCATCACATGCCATCATAGTGACCGTACATCATCACATGCCACATCCCATCATGCATTCTACGGCGCACCTCCATGGTTCTGTTGTTAATCAGATGCGCTGCGGGATGTTGCTGCAGCCCATGCTCCCTCTCCCCCACCACATTCGGAACGCCTGGTAAAAGGGGGATGAGAATATGAGAGGAGGAGGGGGAAGCACAACGTATGAGTGACATTGCTAGTGCTGTTGCGGGATGCTGCTGCAGCCCATGCTCCTTCTCCCCCACCACATTCCGAACACCTGAAGAAGGGGGGAGGGAGGAGGAGAGAAGCTGAGCGAGCCGTTCATGCCTGCACGGCACCCTTGCCTTGCTCCTGCTGCTGCAGCCCATGCTCAAAAGTCACCTGGGGGGCGGCTCCCCCCTCTCCACCACCACGTTCCGAACTCGTGAACAGGAGGGACGAGAAGAGGGAAAAAGGAAGGGAAAGCACACCCCAATGTGACCCTTCTAGAGCCGGCATGCTGTCCCTGCTCCTGCTCCTACTGCTGCTACTCTTGCTGCGGGATGCTGCTGCAGTGCAGCCCATGCTCCCTCTCCCCACCACCACGCTCAGAACGCCTGGAGAAAGGGAGAGGGAGAGAGCATTTAACAAGTCTGCCTGTAACACGTGCATTAATGTTCACCTTGTCGCGAGAGCATGATGGAAAGAGAGAGCCCCACCGGCCCCGCGCCCACAATCACCACCGGCACCGACGCTCGCGCAACCGATCCTCCGCCATTCTTCCCGCTAACCCCTCCGCCAATCGCAGCCGTTGATCCAGCTGCCGCCAAACCAGCAGGGACCGATCTAACGGCCGTGAATCCATCAGCAGTTGATCCGGCGCGAAATCCGCGCTCCGGGAAATTGAAACATTCATAGTAGTTGCGAAGACTGGAGTTCGACAAAAGGAAGAGAGGGGAAAATATCCGACGAGCATGGCGATGCGGGAAGCAAATTGTAGGAAGCATAGGAGAAATGGCGAATAATTGCGGCAGGTGAGGTGAATCCGCAGGTGCTTAGAAACGATGTTTACTATGTACACGTGGAAAACCTAAGATGCTGCGACAGAGGGTTGACGGAGAGCGCGTCATGCGTCGCGAGGGACGGTGATCGTGAAGTGATGGTGATTGTGGCGAGTTAGCGACAAGGGGGAGGTGGAGGAGGAAGGGAAGTAAGTTTTCTTACGTTGCCTACGGTTTAGTACGATAGCACGGGTTACCATACGAGAACTTTATGTTCATTCATGCTCCATACTGACTGAACTATCTGTAAGGGTATAACTTGGCCAGCGGCAAGTATTTCAAAACCCTAAAATCTTGAAAATTGGGGAACCTGTTGGGTGTAGGCGTAACACCTGGAACTGACACTCTTCCAGGGGTGTACTCTGCGGTTTGACGTAGAACGGGGAATGGCTGTGCGAACGAGGTGAACGAGGACCACACTTAACATGGTAACAAATTCCTTTGTTTTTCATCGTGATGAGGTGTAGAGCTCCTACCTGCGGCTTTAGGAAAAACCTGAACGAATATTAGCGACCGCACAGGAAGTTACACGCAAATTCTTGCACTATCCCATCCTCAGATCCTGGTTCTGAGGGTCGCTATGCTCAATTGCTGGGGACGTGAATGGTGGTCCGCATTTGTCTGCACATTCTTGCAGCATGCCATGGAAGAGATTCGCACCTTCATTCCTCGCCGTTCGAGATTGAAGAACCGGTAAATCTACCGTTCAAAGCACTTGTTTGAACAGCTCACGGATTTGCTAGATGGAAGCCTACCTAGGAACGGCTGCGATCATGCGATGTAAGGAATTCTGACGATTGCAGGAAATATGTCGACGGTTTGCAAGTGCAGTACAGATCACGAACCGACATGGACAGCTTGGTCGGTCCGAGCTGGACTATCATCGAAAACTTTCAACCCACGTTCAACCGTGCGGCCTTCTATGAAAGTCCCTTGCCACCAAACGAAGGCCCGGGCCGCGTTCAGTGGGCGCATTAGTAATGCGCGCACGACGGACAAGTAGTGCGCTCGGAGGCTTCCGCGCAAGAGAGCACCCTATGAAAACTACCACGAAGGTATGACTCAGGCGCGATGTATCTGCGAGGCAGGCTCCAGGGTGTTTACGCTGGGCAGACCAAAACATTTCAGCTGCATCAGCACGGATGGGCAGGACTGACCCAAAATTTCGAAGACCCTAAACAAGATTTGGCACCTGCATCCAACGGCCAGGCACCTCACAGTCAAACTGCAGGGTTCAGAAACTCGCCAAAGTTTCCCTTTTCCCAGGCGTTTTGCCCTGCCCCGCACAGCTTGTGCACCCCTCATCCGCCGTGAGACGGGCGGATGGGACTCGCACAGGCTATGCGGGCCTTTTGCCTGTGAAACCAGCGTCCTGGAATGTTCCGAGCGCACAGTCAGCTCTGCGTTTTTTTTGCACGCGTAGGTTCCAAGCCTTCTCAAGTGCGTTCGTAGAGCTTTCCTCGTTAGGGTACCATAACCTATGGGCCAACAGAACGCAGCCCGCGGTTCGCAGAAGTCAGATGCGACCGTCGTGTACTCCTTCCGCCTTCCATCCACCCTACAACTCGTAGTCCGTACGACTGGATGACAGGCCTACGATTGTCTGTGGGGTGAGTGCATAGTAGACTCGGTCAACTCTCCTCGGGTCAATCGAAGCGCGATAGCACCTTTCAACGCTTGGACGTCACGCACGCCGCGATCTCAGCCGTCGACAATCAATGTCTCCCTGCCACAACAGTCGGGATGCGACTCGACGATCAAACATTGCAGCTATTGAAATGCATGCAATTCCGTCACTTCCATCATTCACAAACAAATCAAATTCCCTCCAGCTGAATCTCAAATCATTCTTCACTCGTTACTCTGGCAAACCCGTGCCTTGTCAGTGTAATTCCCAGCTGAAATCATCAGCCAAATTGACCATCTGAGGTGAAATTCAGTCGATTTCCTTCAGCAGTCTGCACCGTTCTGACAGTAACATCGACAGTTCCATCAACTTAACCCTGTAAACAAACCTCTCATCAAATTCGGCCATGGCCAGAAAGGGCACTCTCCTTATGGTGCTTTTCCTGCCAATCGTCATGATTCTCCTCCTCACTCTCCCCGCTGCCACAGCTCTCCCCGCTTCCCGCGCCCGCCGATCGCTCCTAGGCCGCCTGCTCAAGCCTCTGCGTCACAGCTTCGACAGTCTCAAAGCCGAGCTGGGTTTCAAAACTGGCCGTGGCGACGAAACCGCTGCCACGTGGAGGGACATGTACCAGCGGCAGCTGATCTCGAGGATCGAGCCGTCCAATGACAAGAAACTGCTGGACGCTCTTGAGAATTCTCAGAAACTAATCTCCAGGATCGAGCCTTCCACTGAAAACATTGTCGTTCCGACGGTTCACGGCGTCGCGGCGCAACCACCGGCGCCGCAGCATGCGGCCAAAAAGCGGGTAACAGAGTCGACTTCGACTGAGTCAATTGCAACCGCCGCGCCCGCCGCCAGCGCCAGCGCTGCACCCGCCGACGCCACATCCATCACCAACGCGGATTCGTCCGTTTCAGCCGCCATCGACACTCCGATTGGTACAACTGCTAACAAACGTGACTCCAGGTCAGCAGCCGGCGCGACTCGTACTACTACCATTCCGCGCCGGTCCATGATCGCGTTCGCACCCGCACCGCCCCCCGCATACTACGAGCCGTCCAGGCGCCGCAGCATGATGAGCCGCCAGCTGCGCGGCGGCCAGGGTTCTCCGCGGCGGTCGACGCTCGACTCAACTAAAGTTAATCCCGCCTCTGCTCCCGCATCTGAGCCGTCCGTTCGCGGCCGGTCCATGCTCGAATCACCCGTGAATAAGCATGCGCCCAGCAACCAGGCCTTCGCTAGCGCGCCGTGCCCCGGAGCCCCCCCCCAGACCCGCGGCGGCGGAGGTTCCGCCCCGTTCCCCCTCGCGTGCCCGAACCCTGAACCCTCCGCGATGTGCGATTTCGTGTTCAACAAATCGATGGACGCGATTCCAACCATCACCCTCCCTGCGTTGGTGACCGACGCACCACTCGATATAACTCCATCCGATATTGTGACGATCGTTGGCGGTACAGACTTGGAGGAGGCTACAGCCAACGAATCTGCGCTGGTTTGCTCCCCGGAAGTTGCGAAAACACTATCCGACGACGCTCCCCTGCAGTTACCAGACGGCGTGTTCGAGATTCGCGATTCGAATGTGCTAGTGTACAACGGACAACTGATGAAAGAGATTCTCGACAGCAGCAGCCTTGGAAACAGCGGGAACGAGTGGGCAAAAACGTTCCGCACCGACGCTACGGGTAAAGACGGCGCGCTCGTTCGCGTTCAAATCGAATCCGCTACGCTGAATCTTTACGGGACGGAGACCAAGGTCGGCAAGGGTACAAACAATGGCCCATCCGGCTCAAATCTCGGCGGCGGTTCAGGCGCGAGTGGCAATGGCGAGGGTGATCCCATGGGTGTTCAATACTTCCCTTACGAGAGGCTCTGCGTTGTGTTTCGGGTGAAGCTCTCTTGAGGTGGCTGTGGTGGTATACTTGGCGAACCGAAGTTCGTGTAGATAGCATGAACTATATTGTCATGTACATTTTGGCTAGACTCAGCTACACTGCAATGTACATCTCGTTATACTTATAAGCAGCAGTTACAAACACCCTGCTCACTAGAAGAATTCGGTACTGGTTCAGAAATCTGAAAAATCTGGAGCATCACTGAGAAACTTAAAACCGCTCCTAGACTGGTCTGTCCCATGATGTCTCATTGGTGGAAAGATTTCCATAATACACTTCGTTTGATTGGGGATCCAAAAACGCCTGAATTGGAACCCATCAGAAACAGGAGGTGGAGAGGGGGTGGGGGGGTGGGGGGGGGGGGGGGGGGAGAGACAGGGAGAGGGGGGTGAGTGAGAGGGGGGTGAGTGAGAGGGGGGAAGAGGAGCACGCACACAGCACCCAATACCATCGAGTTTATATATACAAAGCACCCATGGGTTCCATGGGTTCCATGAAGACTAGGCACGCAGCACCTATGGATGCACAGAACAACCTGAAACGCCTGAATTGAAACCCTGAAGCTTCAACTCATGGCAGTCTGCACAATAAGAAGCACTAGCGTCATGCGCCATGGAGTCACAAACGGGGACCAGACCAATCGCAACAGCCTACAAGCGATGGCAGACGATTCACATCCTACAACAGCCTAATAGCTTGGGCGCAAACACGCAGCAGCACCACTCTTCACCCATCTGAAACGTGAAAGACGATGCAATGCAAGCTTCTGACTGACATGCATCACTCCTTTCACACTCAAGGCAACAAACGCACAGAACCCATCTCTACCAGAGGAAACTCACAGTTCGATGAAAGAGAAGAGCGCACATGTACTGGGGGAACAGGACAACACCTGCACACCTAAGAACCTGCCCACCAGTTCCCAGAGGTCTGAACACGTGCTCAGGTCACCTCTCCTCACCGCTTCTCACCTGCCAACCAGCCTGCAGCCCAGTAGAGAGAGCCTTCAAATCCGGCCCCTTGCGTTTCTTCTTCGCTCCAACCCCCACTGCTGCTGCTGCCACTGCCACTGCTGCTGCAAATCATGACAGACTCACCTGCCAGCCAGCACCACAACGCACCTGCCTTCACCGCATTATCACCTGCCAGTACCGCATCCCACCTGCCAGCCAGCCGGCAGCCCAGCAGAGAGAGCCTTCAGATCCGGCCCCTTGCGCTTCTTCTTCGCTCCAACCCCCACTGCTGCTGCTGCTGCTGCTGCCCCCCCCCCTGCAAATCATGACAAACTCACCTGCCAGCACCACAACGCACCTGCCTTCACCGCATCCCACCTGCCAGTACCACATACCACCTGCCATCACCGCATCTCACCTGCCAACCAGCCGGCAGCCCAGCAGAGAGAGCCTTCAGATCCAGCCCCTTGCGCTTCTTCTTCGCTCCAACCCCTACTGCTGCTGCTGCTGCTGTTGCCGCTGCCACTGCTGCTGCTGCTCCGCCGACCTGCGGTCTTGACTGCTCATCGTCCCCAGCTGCATCACCGGCTGTAGCAGGGCTAGCACCACCAGCACCACCAGCACCATGAGCGCCATTCAAAAGCGGCGAGTCAGCCTGGGCTTGACCCGCCCCTCTTGCCTTCTTCACTCGCTCGCGCCTGTTTCAATGGATCGGAATGGGGCAACAACAGGGATATGCACGCGCTTTAGCACCGGCTGCACCGCCGGCTGTAGCAACGGCTGTAGCACCGGCTGCACCACTGGCTGTAGCACCGGCTGTAGCAGGGCTAGCACCACCAGCACCAGCACCGTTCAAAAGCGACGAGTCAACCTAAGCTTGACTCGCGCCTCTTGCCCTCTTCACTCGCTCTCGCCTGTTCGGTGGGTAAGTCAGCAATAGAGTAGAATCCCTGAGACAAAAATAAGGCCCCGACAAAAATAAGACAAAAAAACCTCTTCTTTTCGCCTTTCCCAACATACAGCTGGACTGTGTTAGACAGACGTAGCGGCCTAGAAGAATCAGTTTCACAAGAATTCAGTGAGTAGTTGGGACGTGATAAAAAAAATCAGACAGCCACCAAGTCTAGCTCGAGGTTTAATCAAAAACCGAAACAGGAAAGAATACAAAAAAGGGGGAGGGGGGGAAACTCACCAGTCGACTGCGATTGGTTGGAAGTTGGCGTTCTCCTCGGCCTCTCCTGTTTGCAGCTGCTGTTGCTTCCACTCCTGGGGGCAAAACAACCGATGGATGAACATAAAAAGCAAATTCTTTGGTGACTTCTGAGTCGACTCAAAAGTCGACCGATCAAAGCAAAAAGCATGAATATTGCGACGCCTCAAACCTTTTGCCTTTCCTGTCTGCAGCTGCTGCTGCAGACAAATGGAAGTGCAAAAAAAACAAAACAAAAACTAACTGCTCTTTCCCCTTTTCAGCCCCCTTGTACCCTCCCACTCTTCTCACCCTCTTACACCCTCCCACTCATCTCAACCCCCTTCCACCCTCCTCACTCTTCTTAACCCCCTTCCACCCTCCCGCTCTTCTCACGCCTACCACCCCTCCCTTCATCAACGTTCTCTCCCCCGCCACTTCCCCCCCTCACTTCTATATCTTCTCACCTCACTTTCCTACTGCCGCTTCTTCCCGACCACCCCTCCCGTCATACAAGGCACGCTTCCTTTCCCAACCAGACACAGACATTGGACTAACACACCCTCTCCCTTCCACTCCCTGCACTGCCCCTCGCCTCGATTTTCTTTTGCTGTTTCTTCCCAATTACCTCCCACGTCATACAAGGGACGTTCCCAATCCCAAGTAGACACACGTATCGCCTTCCCTCCCCTTACCCTGCTAGGCTGCTACCACTCACCTCAATTTTCTTCTGTCGCTTTTTCCCAATCACCTCCCCATCGTACCAGGCCCGTTCCCTCCCTCTCCCATCCCAACACACACACATCAAGTCAACACACACACCCTCCTCCCTCCCCCTCAACCCTGCTACACCGCGCCTCAATTTCTTCTCTCGCTTCTTCCCAATCACCTCCCCATCGTACAAGGCCCGTTCCCTCCCTCTCCCAACCCAACATGGGTCTATCTGAACAACACACCCTCTACCCTCTCTCCCACCCACCCCACTTCCTCTCACCTCGATTTTCTTCTGTCGTTTCTTCCCAATCACCTCTCCATCGTACAAGGCCCGCTCCTTCTCCTCCTCCTCCTGCTCCCGCCTCATCCTCTCCTCATCAAGCTCCTCCTTCGCTGCTTTCCACTGCCACAGCAGAAAGGGGAAAGGTTAAAAAGAAGCATTACAGCCAATCGATTGTCGATTTCACCTCCTCCTCCTCCTGCTCCCGCCTCAGCCTCTCCTCATCAAGCTCCTCCTTTGCTGCTTTCCACTGCCACAGCAGAGGAAAGAAGAGAGGGAGTAAAAAGGGGGAAGGTTGAACAGAAGCATTACAGGCAACCGATTGTCAATTTCACCTCCCCCTCCTCTTGCTCCTGCCTCATCCTCTCCTCGCACAACTCTTCTTTCGCTGCTTTCCACTGCCACAGCGAAGGGGGGAGGAGAGAGAGAAAAGAGGGGGAAGTGTTACAGTACAGGTACAGATTGTCAATTCCACTCCCTCTCCTCCTCCTCTTGCTCCCGCCCCGCCTCATCCTCTCCTCGCATATTCCTTCCTTCGCTGTTTTCCACGGCCACAGTGAAGGGAAGAGAGAGAAAAGAGGGAAGTGTTACAGTACAGATACAGATTGTCGATTCCACTCCCTCTCCTCCTCTTCTTGCTCCCGCCCCATCCTCTCCTCGTCTAGCTCTCCCTTCACTGCTTTCCACTGCCACAGCGGAGGCAAGAGGAGAGGGAGCAGAAGAGGTGAGAGAGAAAGAAAGGGAAGGTTGAACGGGAAATTAGCATTGATTGTCAATTCCACTCCCTCTCCTCCTCCTCTTGCTCCCCCCCCATCCTCTCCTCGTCTAGCTCTTCCTTTGCTACTTTCCACTGCCACAGCAAAGGGAAGAGGAGAGAGAGAAAAAGGGGAAAGGTTGAACAGAAGTGTTACAGGCATCGATAGTGAATTCCACGTCCTTCCTCCTCCTCTTTCTCCTCTTGCTCTCGAGCTGACTTGTGAGTCGACTCAAAAGAGAGCAAAAGGGGAAAGGTTGAACACAAGTGTTACAGGCATCGATAGTGAATTCCGCGTCCTTCCTCCTCCTCATTCTCCTCTTGCTCTCGCCCCATCCTCTCCTTGTCGTAATCCCCTCTGGCTGGTTTCCACTGCTATGGCCGAGGGGAGAGGAGAGAGTGTGAGAGGAGGGGGAAGAGAAGGAGCGAGAGAAGGAGAACCAACAGGAGAAGGAGACTTTTGAGTCGACTCAAAAGAGGAGGGGGAAGAGAAGGAGCGAGAGAAGGAGAACCAACAGGAGAAGGAGACAAAGGAGGGAAGGTGTGTCGGAAGAGCGATAATAAACACATAATCTGTATGAGCTTCTGACAACAAACCCCAATGAATACCACCTTAGATGTTTAAACTGTATGAGCAACAAACCCTCCCAGGGACTTACCTTGTTCACCAGCGAAGACACTTTCTTGCTTGCATGTGCCCCTCCCACTGTCGCTTTTCTCTTGGGCTTTGCTGCTGTGCGGGTGAAATTGAGGGTTTACAGGAGGAGAGGTAAACGGTGAGAGGAGACAATACAGGGATATAAGAGGAGAAGCGAGGAGAGACATGTGAGGTTGAAAAGAGTTGTGTGCTTGCATGTGCCCCTCGCAATGCCGCCCTTTTCTTGGAATTTGCCGCTGCGCGGGTGAATCAGGAGTCATCAAGAGGGGTTTTAGTGTGCGAGGAAACAAGAGGAACATGGAAGGAAGAGCGTTGGGGGTTGGAACATGGTATTGCACAGCTTGATGAATGTGTTCCTTCCAAAGTGACTTTTGAGTGGACTCAAAGTCACCTTGGAACATGGAATTGCATGGGTGGGTGGGTGGATGGATGGATGTGTTTCTTCCACTACTGCTGTCTTTTGAGTCGACTCAAAAGAATTGCATGGGTGGGTGGGTGGGTGGATGGATGGATGTGTTTCTTCCACTACTGCTGTCTTTCGCTAAGCACGCGGATGCAAAACAAACCAAACTTTCTCAAATTGCACGCAGGTGCCGCTAATTCTTTCCTTCTCTTCTGTTTGCTCCGAAAACTCTTCACCTCGGCGAACATCCAGTCGTTTAGGCTACAAGACCTCATCCAGCCGGATCCCAATCGCACGCATATGCTACTATCCGCGCTCGCCAGATACAAAAGCTTTGGCTAAATCAGTCCGACCAGATGAGCTCTTGTATCCGGCGAGCATATGTGTGCACTTGAGACACGGTTAGATGAGGTCGCTCGCGCAACCCAAACGACTGGAAGTCCACCGAGGCGAAGACTTTCCGGAGGAAACAGAAGTGGGGGAACGCATTGAAGGAAGTTAGGAGGATTCAGTTTAGTTTTGAGGCGCCTCAAAACTAGGAAGTTAGAATTCTGTTTTGCTTTCTATTGTTGCTACACGGGTGGAATGCGGGGGGGTTGCTAGGAGAATTGGAGGGTACGAGGAGACAACAGGGGTGCATCAGGGGAGATGGAAGGCGCGTGGAAGGACATGAAAGGGAGGGGGAGGAGATGGGAGGGGGCGACTTTTTAGACGTCTCAAAAGTCAGGGGTGTATCAGGGGAGATGGAAGGAGGGTGGAAGGGCATGAAAGGGAGGCGTATCCACAAGGAGATGGGAGGAGGTGTGTGGGAACTCGGAATGTGGAAGTGAATGGGTGGGTGGATGCTCGCTTCCCACTGCTGCCTCCCTCTTGGGCTTTGATGCTACGTGCAGGTTTGCAAAGGAAAGTGGGAGGGTGCAGGACAGGGACGATAGGAGGGTAGTAGCAAGCAAGGAGAGCTAGAGGATGCGAGAGAAGGGGTATGAGGAGACAAAAAGGGGTGTAAGGAGATGAAGAGAGATGCAAAGAGACACATAGCCGAATGGAGTGAGGAGACAAGGGAGAAAGGGCAGGAATGGAAGGAACAACGAAGGGAAGGAGGAACAATAATGAAAAAATGAAAGGAGATCACAAAAAACAAACAAAAAAATGTTGCATGGGCGGAAAGGAGATTACCGCACAGAACACTTCCTATTTTTGCACCCAAGCGCACGTACCTTTCCCTGCTTGCTGTTTCGCAGCAGCTACAGCCTCCATTGTGGAAACCTCAGGAGCAGCGGCAGCAGCAGCAGAAGAAGAAGAAGAAGGAGCAGCAGCAGCAGCAATAGCAGCAGCTACAGCCTCCATTGTGGAAACCACAGGAGCAGTAGCAGCAGCAGCAGCAACAGCAGCAGCAGCAGGAGAAGGAGCAGGAACACCAAGAGGAGCAGCAGGCGCAATTTGCCGCACCCAAGCAAGCACACGTACCTTTTTCTGATTGCTGCTTCGCAGCAGCAACAGCAGCAGCTACAGCCTCCATTGTGGAAACCACAGGAGCAGCAGCAGCAGCACGAGCAGCAGAAGCAGTGTCTCGGCCCCCCTCCTCTACTCCAGTGCCTGATGCCTCCCGCTCCTCTCTTGCTGCAGTACCATCAGCAGCACCACCTGCTGCTGCTACTACTGATGGTACTGCTGGTACTGCTGGTCTCACTAAAGCTGGTGCTGCCACCACAACACGAGGCCGGCGGGTAGCAGTGGCGGCTGTAGCAGCAGCAGCTGTAGCAGCAGCGGCTGTAGCAGCGGCGGCTGTAGCAGCAGTGGGGGCAGAAGCGTATGTTACAGGGGCAGACGAAACGGTGGTGGGAGTAGGGTAAGTAGGAGTGTAACCATACATGCCTGAATATGCCTGATAATAAGCTGCTTCTGTTGTGTATCCTGCTGGCGGTTCTGCTGCTCCTGCTCCGGCTGCTCCTGATGCTGCTGCATACGCAGCATAATGGGACGCCCAGGCAGCAGCACCAGAAGGATCATAGCCTGCAGCAGCAGCAGCAGCAGCACCAGAAGGATCATAGCTTGAAGCTGCTGCCGCTGCTGCTGCTGCTGCTGCTGGATCGTAGGCATATGGTGCTGCTGGGGCTGTATATGGCCAGTCACCTGCTGCTGCTGCTCCTGCTGTTGCTGCTGCCTCTGCTGCTGCTGCCGTAGCTTCTGCCGCTGTTGCTCTAGAAGCATTGGCAGGGTCATAAGCATATGGTGCTGCTGGGGCTGTATACGGCCAGTCACCTGCTGCTGCTGCTGCTGCTCCTGCTGCTGTTGCTGCTGCTGCCTCTGCTGCCGCTGTTGCTGCAGAAGCATTCGCAGGGTCAGAGGCATACGCACTGGCAGCAGCGCTAAGAACAGCAGCATTAAGAGCAGCGGCGTCAGCAGCATAAGCAGCTGCATCAGCAGGCGCACGAGCAGTTGCATCAGCAGCAGGAGCTTCAGCAGAAGGAAGAAAAGGTTCAGGCGCGTCAGGAGGAGGGGGCGGGGGGGATTGCGGCGTGAAATGAGGGTGTTTTTGAGACGTCGCAAAAACACCCTCAGGAGCTTCAGCAGAAGGAAGAAAAGGTTCAGGCGCGTCAGGAGGAGGGGGCGGGGGGGATTGCGGCGGTTGCGGGGGAGGGGAGGGAGGGAGAGGAGGTGGTGGTGGTGATGCTGGTGGTAGAGGCAAATGCCCTGCCTCTCCTCCATCCACTCGTCTTCCTGCTCCATAGCCTACCCCTCCATCGACTGCCCCCTCTGCTGCCTTCACTCCTCCTCCTGCTCCATAGCCTGTCCCTTCTGCTGCCCCCACTCCTCCTCCTGCTCCCTCTACCCCCATTTCCAATTCCATCTCTACATCCATATCTTCGTCAACACCACCCAACCCATCAGCACCGCTCTGCTTCACCACCTGCTTACCTGCTCCTCCCTCCACTTCCTCCTCTCCCTCCTCCTCTCTCTGTGGTGAGATCTCACCACTCTCTGACGCTGAGTACTGCTCCATACCCTTCCACATCGCACCAGAACCCCTCTCCACCCCTCCGGGCCCCTCCTGCTTCCCCGATTCCCTCGCCCTCTCTGCTGCTTCCCGCCTCACCTCATCATTCCGTTCCTCCTTTTCCTGCCGTTGCTTCTCCTCCTCCTGTCCCCGCCTCTCCTGTTCTCTCAGCCGCCTCTCCCCCTCTTCCAATCTTTCCTTCCCCTCCTTTTCCCCTTGCCGTTGCCTTTCCTCCTCTTCCTCCCGCCGTTGATTTTCTTCCTCTTCCCGCCGTTGCCTCTCCTCCTCCCACTGCTCCCTAACTCTCTCCACTCTCCCCCGCACCTCTTCACTCTCTCCCTCCACTCGAACCACCTGCTCAAGGCAATGCCCCACAAGCACCAGCAGGCCCCCTTGCAAGCCCTGCTGCAGCCGCAGCTGTAGCAGCCGCTGTTGCAGCTGTTGCCACGGCTGTAGCACACCAGGTTGTGGCGACCCAGTTAAGGGAGACTGCGCTACAGCCGTAGCAGCAAATCGGTCGGAGAGGGAAGTCAAATCAGCTAGACGGACGGAGGCCTCTATTTGCAGGCGGGTGAGAGAGGAGGAGAGGGAGGTGAGGGAGGAGGAAAGCAAGGAAGAAAGTGGGGTAGGAGTAGGGGGGGGTGGAGAGGTGGAGGAGACAAGGGTGGGAGGAGGAAGCTTGGATTCGACAGCTGTCAGCTGCTGCTGCAAGGACTCCAGCCTGGATACAGCGTCACCAGTCTTATCCGCCACGTCAGCAGCTGTTGCTGCCAGCTCAGCCTCTGCTGAGTCGACCTGCTCCTGCAAGGACTGCAGCACTGCTGACATAGCACCGGCGCCTGCCACGTCAGCAGCACCACCTGCCAGATGGCGCTCCGCTACTCGTCCCTTACCTTCACCAGCCTCCTCCTCATCCATCCCCACATGCTCTTCTCCACGCTCTTCGTTCACACACCCTTGCATCCCCCCTTCCTTTCGCACCACCTTCGCCTCTTGCACTACCCTCTCCCCTACCCTTTCCCCTTCCCTCTCCCTCCTCTCAGTCTCATCTCCTTCCCCCTGATCACCCATCTTAACATCCGCATCCCCCTCACTCCCTCCACTGCCCTCCTTCCCTCTCTCCCTCGCAGAATCCCTCCTCTCCCCTTCGCCCTCTTCATCACCCTCCTTCCCACCCTCATCCTCTCTCTCCTCCCCTCTCTCCTCCCCTTCCTCCTCCCCTTTCTCCCTCCTCTCGCCCTCACACCGCCCCACCTCCTCATCTCCCTCCCCCGTTCCCCCCCTCTCCCCAACACCCTCTCCACCCTCTAACGTCCCCCCCATCCCTACACCCGCAGCAGCCTCAGTTTGCACAAGCTCTTCAGGAACCGACCAGGAGGTTTCGCCTGTGACTGTGTTCCAGTAGTAATACTCCCCACTCTCTGGTTCCAACACAGCCTGCCACACACTAGGAGCAACCGCTGCTCCTACTCCTTGCTCCTCCTGCTCTTGTCCTTGTTCCTCCTCTCCCAGTGTGATTTCATCAAACTGAGGCCTCTCCCCTGCCCTCTCCTCTCCCTCTCCCTGGTACCCCTCTTCCCCCTTCTCCTTCCCCAGCTGCTTCTCAAGATTTTCCGGAATATCACTCTGCCTTTCCTCTATGCTCTCCGCCAGTGCTGCCCCCCCAGTCTCTTCAGAACTCCCACCGCCGTCAATCGCCTCCTCTTCTTGCATACCTTTCCCCTCCTTTCCCTCCACACCCTCCTCCCCGTTCCCAGCAGCCTCTTCCTGCACACCCACCTTCTCACCCTCCGTTTCTCCCGCAGTCCCCTTCGCACCCTCCTTTTCTCCCTCGCTCTCCATCTCCTCCTGTGCGTTCCCTCCTTGCTCGTCCAGCAGGCCGCTTTCCTTCAGATCGGACATGAATGCGAGCATCTGAGGGGCAGAGAGGGGATAGGGGATGGGCCGCGGATGAGTGAGTGAATGTGGGAGAGCAAAGAAGAGGAGGGCAAACGGACAGTGCGCATTGCCCTCTTGTGTGAGCCGTCCTTGCTCGTCCAGCTGCCCGCTTTCCTTCAGATCAGACATGAATGCGAGCATCTGACGGAGAGGTGAACTGTGACGGGGAGGAGGCGATGGAAGAGGAGAGGGGGTAAGAAGAGGTCAAAGTTCTGAGTCGCATTCACCAGCTTTCGCTCCTTGTTTGTAAAATAAAAACCGCTTTCTTCTTGACTCGAGTTAGGAAAAGGCCGCTCTCTTTCCAATCCGATTGAAATGCGAACACCTACTGGGTGGGGAGAGGAAAGATGGGGGGGGGGGGGGTGTGAAAGGGAGGAGAGAGGGAGGAGGGAGGGAGGAGGGGAGAGTGAGGGAGGAGAGGAGAGAGGGAGCAAAGAGGGAAGAGAGAGCGATGAGAATTAATGCACCTAATTTGAGGTAGTTTTTTAAGTGCCTTTTCTTGGGGCAAAACTCGAGGCATCGTAAAATTCGAAGCAAGGGCGCCACTTTATAACATGGTTGCATGGAGACTCTTGGACGGTCATGCCATAGACTTTTAAGAATCCGCATAAGTCAACCTACAGTATGGTATGACTCTTGGACGGTCATGCCAGCCATAGACTTTTAAGAATCCGCATAAGTCAACCCACAGTATGGTATGACACTTGGAAGGTCACGCCATGCCATAGAACATTTGAGAATTCACAGAAAGTCAATCCACTGTGACACATGGAACAGGTCACGTCGACTTTTGAGACGTCTCAAAGGTCACGCCATAGGACAATTGAGAATTCTCAGAGAGTCAATCCATTATGCCACTTGGATTGGAAAAGGTCACAGTCGTAAAACTCAACTCAACCAACCTACCCTCCCAAGTGTCTCATCATCTCGTTACAACCATGTCTATTCAAGGCAGGTATCAACCGACCATCCTCAGGACCTCAGATACCATCAAAGGAATGCCTCTTCAGCCTGGCAGGAAAACACCCGCAGGTGACTTTAGAGTCGACTCAAAAGTCGTCTCTTCAAGGAGGTAGGTACCAACCGACCATCCTGAGACGCCCTGAAAGGAACGCCTCTTCAGCTTGGCAGGAAAAAACCCGCAGGTATACACCTACACGTACTCGTACACACCTATGCTACGCGTACACACATACGTTACTCCTGCACACCGGCACACTTACCTCATCATCCATCTCCACCGCATCCCCCTCCTCCGCTTTGCTTGTATTCCTCCCCTCCATTCCTCCGCCCTCCGTCCCTCCCCCCTCCGCCTCCTCCTCTTCCTCGTCCTCATCCTCCTCATCGCTATACGCTCCTAGAAGCGAGAGCGGGTCCGGTGCCTTGGTGCCTAGGAGGGAGTAAGGAGAGTAGTGAGTAGCAGACGACAAGGGAAAGGGAGAACAACGGGAGGCAGAGGCAGAGACAGAAAGGCAGAAAGGGGAGAAAGAACGCCGTGAGCTTCACCACCCAAACAATTCAAGAATCTCCACATCGTCTAGATTGAGGTATTGGCTTTTACCCCCAACGACACGGAAGTTCAGGAAATGTCACCTGGCACTCGCACCACTCAAAGGTTAGTTACACAGTACATACAGTTAAGTAAAAGGGCTGACCAGACCGGAATAAGACACACGTCGCATCCACTGTGACCGATTCAGAACCTGGAATGTCTTTTAATCAACCTGGTCTACACAACATATATGTAGTTATCAGTCAAAGATCAACAAGCGTGTTGTTTAAAGGGAAAAGGAAGCAACGGGAGAGGACACAAACCTGCACCTACCGTTTAATTATCCAGTCTGCTGAGATGCTGAGACACGTCACGTCACGTCACACGAGCGAGATGCACCGGTTCTTCTTCCAGTGCAACACTGGACTGAACCTGCGACTTTCAACTGCACCGAATTGCACCGAATTGCACCGTGCCAACGAACCCTCCTTCTCCTCCTCGTATCCGTTTCGCCTTTCCCTTCCCTTCACCCTGTCACTAGAGGTAAGTCACTGTGCTTGTAATGAGAGCTAGGCGGTCGTTTCCACCTATGCAGCGGGCGCTATGCCAGGGATTCGCCGCGTGTAGTGGTAGCAACAGCCGTGGAAGAGGGGGCGATGACAGAGGAGGAGGCTGGGCAGTGGTAGCAGCAGACGAAGCAGCAGCAGCAGCAGCAGCAGCAGCAGCAACCCGCAGCAGTTTCAGCAGCTCCCGTGTTTATAAACTGGATAGTGATAATTGAATGGTGAAGCGGCTGATGACGTGGCAATGTGCGCGGCAAGATGCCAGGTCTGTAGTTAGATCTCCCCGGCTTGCAAGTGTGAAAAAAGGCGTCTTCCAATCATAATCAGACGGAAATATCCGCCTGAGAATATCCCCTGATGCATGTGCGGCCTCAGCTCGTCGCAAGATCTGATTCGGACGAATAAGTATCCGCCTGAAAATCTCCCCTCATTCGTGTGGTGCGTCTGATCGTCGCACATGTTGCCTTGGCGACACTACATGCGACTATGACGGTCGCACATAAACCTTCCACGATCCCACAAATTGCACATAGTTTCACGATAAGAGGAGTGGAAGGAAGGGAAGCTTCCACGCACCTTCTACAGAAGGCAAGGGTCCGTCAGCAGCAGCAGCATCTGCTGCCGACGATGACGTCAGCACAGAAGTTGCCGGCAATCCTGAGGCTGCCTGATCGCCATCCCCTTTCTGGGAAGCTTCGCCTGGAATCTGCTCTTCCCCGGCTGATTGATTTGCCTCCGCATGTGCATCTGGCAGGATAAAGGGATAGTTAACATTTTTACGGACGAACCATGTAGAATACTTAATTCGCTTGCATGACTAGAACCCGCGAGGAATCTAATAATGGACTACTGTAAGAGGGGAAGGTATTGCGAACAGCAACGGCGGCGATCGTTAGTTAACATGGAGAATAACAGAAATACATTTCCACTCGTTGAAACTTGCAAACAAAAACAGAATAGAGTGATAAACATAAGCGCAAGTCCATTGTAAGTCTTGGTAGAAAGAACGACACACGAGCACTGCTCCTCTCGTTAACTACTAAACAGAAACACGAAGCCTAAACGAACCTTCTGCCGGCTCCGATCCCCATAGATCGAGCTTCACTCGCCGCCCACCGCCTCCTAAAACGCCTTTCGCTTTCCTATCCCGCCTCCGACCCATGATAGCTACTAACGAATAAGCGGCGAAAGTTCGAGCTTATCTGTCTGGCTGGGGTGCACATTCAGCTGAATGTGCATCAAAGGTTATCCCTTGACTGAGTGGGTTACGAGGTGTGCTTTCAACCCCTTCAAGTCGAAATTCGTTTCCCCCCTCCCCCGCAATGTCGTTTCCCCACGCCCCCGCAATTTCATTTCCCCCTCCCCGTCGAAATTCGTTTCCCCCCTCCCCCGCAATTTTGTTTCCCCCCTCCCCCGCAATTTCGTTTCCCCCCCCTCCCGCCAATCTGTTTCATCCCTCCCGCCATTCGGTTTCACCCACTCCCGCCATTTCACCCCCTCCCGCCACCTACGAAATGCCCGAAGCTCTAGCGGAATCATTTTTTTGTCGCCCCTCGTGAGCCAATCACTGTTTTTCTCCAAACCCCCTTCCCAACATCTCAAGCCGAACCGCGTTGAATGTGCACCCTGGTTTTAAACCTCGGACCTAGGAGTGATAGGTCTCGATACTCGCTACTAGGGCTGCAGGCAACGAGTGTTTGGCCGAGAGGTGGACGAACATGATGATTCTATGTGTACGTAGATTACACAGTGTTGTTTTTGTAGCCAGTTTACATTAGTTGTCCATTCCCCAGCGTTTCTAATTGCGCCTTTACCATGCATCCACACCATTCGCCTATCAGCTCTGAGAAAATCCACATTCCAGACATCCTATAAAATCCACACCACCCTAGGGTTTAAATATCAGGTGGAGCTGCACAATAAACCAGTGCCTAAAATTCATATGGCTCCACCTGCTGAGTTCTCTTCCATGCATCCCTCCCCGATATCCTCGCCCACCATCTGCTCACGTTCGGGCGGCTCTCAATCAAATCAAATCCCCCTGCGGCCGGCAACAGCTCCGTGAAGGGCAGGTGGGTCAAATCCGCGAGGGTGAAAGAGTTTCCGACTAGGTACTCCCTCCCTTCCAGATGCTTCTCGTATATGTCCAACACGTTTGATAGCTGTATGCATGAGGAGGGAAGACGAACAGCAGGTGGGAAGGGAGGGGTTGAGGCAGGTGGGACAAGTGTGAGGGTGAAAGTGTTTCCGGCTACATGATCCCTCCCTTCCAGAGCTTCTCGTGTATGCCCAACACACGAGAGGGCTGTATGGATGGGGAGGGAAGAAGAAAAGCAGGAGGGAAGAAGAAAGGAAGGTAAGATCGAGTGGAAAGGGGGGGCAGGCAGGCGGGTCAAGTGTGTGAGAGTGACAGAGTTTCCGGCTAAGAAGTTCCTCCCTTGCAGATGATTCTCATATATGTCCAGCACATGCGACAGCTGCGTGCAAAATACACAAGGCATTTGGGAAGGACAGCGGCATGTGGAGAAAAAAAAAAAAAAAACAGCAACATAAACTAAACAGCTACAGTGTTCTTTTGAGGAATTCCCGAGATTTCACAAGTTGACTAGCAGGGTGTTTCTGTAAGGGCCCAGATACAGTTTATTCTCCTCTCCACCTTGTCCCCTTCCTACTCTTTCTCTCACCTACTCCATCTCCCCTCGCTTCCTTCCATCTCCCCTCATTGCAAGAACGCTCGGGGAGGTGGGCTGGGGCTTGTGCATTCAATCGTACGCCACAGAACCATCACATCTCCCCTCCATCCCTCATTCCACCCACTCCCGTATTTCCTCTCCTCTCACCTTCTCTCTTGCCTCGAGCATTCTATCTCTCTTCGTTACAAGCACGTTTGTGCAGATGCGGTTTGAATACCCTCTCATACACCAGAATCCTCACCGGTGGAGGAGTGAAATGCCCAAACGCCCTTCTCTTTTCCACCCTTCCTCTCACCTTCTCCCTTGCCTCCTTCCATCTCTCCTTGTCACATCAGCGCTTGTGCAAGTGGGGCTTGAACACCCGCTCATACACCAGAACCACCACCACTAGAG